CCCTGACCCCTGTGTACCCCGTGTCCCCGTGTCCCCCTGTCCCCTGTCCCCGTTACTGTCCGGGATCCCCGGGGGTGTCCGGGAGGGGCGGGGGGCGATGCCGGGGGTTGGCAGCATCACTGGGGGGCTGCAGCGCAGTGACCGCGTGGCCTAATGGATAAGGCGTCTGACTTCGGATCAGAAGATTGAGGGTTCGAGTCCCTTCGTGGTCGACTTTTTTTTCCCCCCCATTTTTACATCCTCGTTTCCCGTTTCTCCCCTCGCGTCTCTCCCCTCCGAGGGGTGGCGGGAACACGCGGGCCCAGGCTCGGTCCCGGCGCTGCCCCGCCCGTCCCCCGGGGTGCCCCCGTTCCGCGGGTCCCGCGCGTGGTCCCGGGACCTCCCTGCGGCGCGGGGCCGGGGCCGTTCCCGCCGGCCGGGGCGCGCGCCCTGCGCAGCCCCAGTGGCCTAATGGATAAGGCACTGGCCTCCTAAGCCAGGGATTGTGGGTTCGAGTCCCATCTGGGGTGAGCCCCCTTTTGCCTCTGCCAGCCCCGTTTCGGTGCCGGTGGGCTTCCTCCTCCTCCTCCTCCCCCTCCTGCCCTGCGGCCGTTGCCCTGGGCTGCTTGGTGGGAAGACATTCCCCATGCTGGTGAGTGGTGCCAGGGGAGGAGGTTGATGAGCCGGGAGAACCCCGAAGTGTGGATAGTCCAACACGTGTGTCTGAGTGCTGATGAGGGGGACACCAAGGAGAGAGGTCGGGGTGGTCCATGATGTGTTTTGGGGCAGCAAGGTCCCCATGGCAGCTCCAGGCTCTCTCCCTGTGCCAACAGCCACTGCTGAGGGGATGGTGTGGCTCTTTGCTCCCCGCCAGTGGTCCCTGTTTGGGTTTCATGGAAAATGGAAACAATGAGGAGCTGCCACAAACTGCCCCAGCTTTGGGGCAAAGGTGGATGTCTCATCCGGCGAGTTGTTGTGGTCCCATTGCTCAGGTGAGGCCTTGACCAAGGGAATCAGCTTTGCTTTTGGAACCTGTGGATGAGAGTAGGCTGATTTTTGGAGGAATGATGGTGGAAGGATGGCTCTGGCCAGGTCATGGACATCCTTCAAGGATGGTGCAGAAGCAGAGCAGTTGCAGTTGTTTAATTGGCTTTGTCCGTGCAGAGCTGGGTTTGTGTTGAGTCAGGGCTGAGCGGCRAATTTCAGCTGCGTTTTTCCCCGCTCCGGGTGTCCCTGTATCATCAGCTGTGTCCAAGCCCAACAAGGAGCCCCTCGATGCTGGGACATGTCCACCTTGCATGGGGGACCTCTTCCCGGAGCAGGACAAGCTGGGATGGGCAGGAAGCTTTACTCCWCCAGGACCCACAGCTCCGTGAGGGGCTGCTCAGAGGGGTCACAGAGTTTGGCTGTGCTGCCCTGAGACCAAAGTCCTCCCCATAAGTACCTTTGGGGTAATGCCCTCTCAAATTTGTTGCATTAAAAAGCCGCCTGGAGGGTCTTTTCCTGCGGAGTTAATGGATTTTAAAAGGAGCTGTGGTCAGGGTGGTGCCACACCAGTAAAGCACAAAGTGAAGTTTCTTTTAAAGTAGTTTTTCTCTCTTAGGTGTGGGAGGAAATGGCTCTGCTGCCTGGAAAGCAGTGAACCTGCCCAAGCCCTGKGCACTGGACCGCTGATTAAAATACCTTCCTGTGGTCAGCTTTGGGAAATTGTTTTTSGGATTAGATGAGAAATGCGGGTTTTGGGGAGAGCAGCTGCAGCAGGAGGAGAACAAACAGGAGGTTAATGAGGTCTGAGGCGCCTTTCTGGTGGTGTTACAGCTGAGCCTGTCTTGGTGACACTGTGACTGTCACTTCTCCAGTGACAGATTGGCACATGGGGACCCGGGGAGGGGAAACCGCCATCACCAGCACAGACAACTGCACTTCCAGGAGGGATGGAGGGTGGGGGATGTCCTGGGGGTGAATGCAGAGGATGGCCAGGGGTGTTTGGGGATGCCCAGGCGGTATTGGGGCAATGGTCAGGGGGTCTCTGAGGATGCCCAAGGGATGATGGAGGGTCGGGGGTGCCCTGGGGTGAGTGCAGAGGATGGCCAGGGGTGTTTGGGGATGCCCAGGGGGTCTCTGAGGATGCCCAAGGAGTGTCCGTGGTACTTTGGGACCCCCCGTGTGTGACAGTGCCGCGGGGCAGTTCTACGGATGACCACGTGGCCTAATGGATAAGGCGTCTGACTTCGGATCAGAAGATTGAGGGTTCGAGTCCCTTCGTGGTTGTTTTAAAGCCACGAGAGGTACTCGAGGCGGTCAATYTCCTTTGTACCGGGGKTCGGCGGCGGTGAATCCCCGTGGGSTGCGAGTACCCCCAGGGGGRTGGGGATTCAGCGAGGTAAACGGGCAGGAAACGTGCTGTGGGGCAGAATGAGGCTTTAGGGGATGGGGTTGAGCCCGACACGTCTCTGCCAATGAGAGGCGATTTACACTTTACGCAGGGCAGCGTTTGGAAAGGAGTCATGACCCCGAGCCC